CCCTAATAATTTTGTTTGACCATTTTGCAGAGTGGGTCACTTATGGACTGTAGTTTTGCTGGCATGGTTTCACTAGATGGGACAAATGAATGGAAACAGCCACCACCACCACCACCACCACCACCACCAGCAGTTATGGCAGCAGCAGCAGCAGCCTGATGGGATGCCACCCCAGGGACTGTGGGGTGGGGAAGACCTCCACCTGCACCCTAATTTCTTGACACCAGATGACTCGCTTTTAAGTTATGACTCATCTGGGAATTCAGGTAAAAAATTCTAAATATTTAATTAATTAATTTTTACAAGTTTAAAGAGTTGTTGATTTGAATTGTGGTGTTTTGGTGTTATGTTATGTAGCATCTTTGCATACGCAGCAGTTGAAAATGGAGTTGTTGTGAAGAAGATGGTAGCAAGGAAAGGATTATTGGATTGTATATAATGGAAGATAGTAGTGGATAGAAGAAGAAGATAGTGGGTTAATTTAGAAGAAGCTTAATTAAGAGTTTAATTTATTGATAATTAGGGGTTTAGAAATGGATATTTGAGGATGGTATTATGCATATAATTATTATATAGTTGCACTAATGATAAATTTGACAGAAAATTGTAATCTGTGTTTTCTTATTCATATCACGAAAGCAAACATCCCAAAAGTATTTATACTCAACAAAAGAAAACCTAGATAAGTTAGGAAAGGATAAATATGACAGCTAATAAAACAAGATAACTAATGGAGCAGAAATAATGACTAATAGAGAAAAGATAATGACGTCAACACTCCCTCTCAAGTTGGACTGTGAAGGTCATAGACACCTAACTTGCATCGGAGATATTGGAAACGATCCGCACCAAGAGCTTTGGTAAAAATGTCCACGGGCTGATGCTCAGACTGAATAGCTAAAGTTTGTATTTCTCCACTGGATACTCGCTCATGAACAAAGTAACAATCCATCTCTACATGCTTTGTGCGTTCGTGATAGGCAAATTAGCTGCAATATGACGAGCAGCTTCATTGTCACACATTAACGGAGTAGCTCCCTTCTGGGCAGCACCAAGATCACAAAGTAGTCACCTCAACCATAACACTTCACATATCCTACTTGCCATAGCTCGGTATTCGGCTTCTCCTGAAGATCTAGCAACAACACTTTGCTTTTTCGTCCTCCGGGAGACAGGTGAACCAACTTGCAACTCAACCAACTTGCATCACAATAACCTATTAGGTCTAAATTGCCTTCAGCCGGCAAAAATAAACCCTGACCTGGGGTAGTCTTTAAGTAACGAAGAACTCTAAAAGCAGCATCCATATGAGATTGTCTTGGTTTACTCTAGAACTGACTTAATTGATTAACACTAAAGAAAATATCAAGGCGAGTCACGGCGATATATAGAAGTCTACCAACAAGGCGGCGATATTTTGAAGCATCTACCTCAGGACTAACATCTTCTCTTTCTAGTTTGAGATCATGCTCCATGGGGAAAGCACTGGGATGACACCCTTGGATATGACAATCTTCAAGAATGTCAAGAGTGTATTTCCTTTTACTTATAACAAACCCTTTGGATGATCTAGCTACCTCAATACCCAAAAAGGATTTGAGTGGGCCCAAATCCTTGATACTAAATTGTTTATGGAGATGATCTTTAACCTCTTTGATTTTGCAATTGTCATTTCCCATAAGAAGAACATCATCAACGTAAATGAGAGCAACAACATGTGTCGTTTCAGTCTTGTAAATGAACATAGAATGATCAGCTTTCGATTGCTGAAAGTGATCATCGATAAGAGCTTTAGTAAACTTCTAGTACCAATTTCTCGAAGCTTGCTTCAGCCCATAAATCGAATTTTGAAGTTTGCAGACACGATCTTCTTTTGATTTGAGAAACCCTTGAGGGACTTTCATGTACACTTCTTCCTCCAAGTCCCCATGTAAGAAGACATTATTTACATCAAGTTGATGTACCTCCCAATGTTTTTTAGCACCAACAGCAAGAGCACAACGAACGGTAACAAGTTTTGCAACCGGTGCAAACGTTTTGTGAAAATCAACTCCTTCGATTTGTGTGTACCCTTTTGCAACAAGGCGGGCTTTATACCTTTCGACTTCTCCATTCGGCTTGAACATGACCTTATAAACCCATTTCGATTCAATTGCTTTCTTTCCTGGAGGTAGGGTAGTTAGAATCCAAGTACCATTGGATTCTAAGGCTGCAATTTCCTTTTTCATCGCCTCTTGCCAATTTGGGTCTTTAGACGCTTGCAAGAAGGTTTTCGGTTCATTAGTAGAGGTAATAGCTGCAAGAAAGGTACGATGGGGCTTAGAAAACTTGTTATATGTGACATATTGAGATATGGGATATGGTCTAGCTGTATCTGAGTTGGAAATAGTAACCTAGGGATCAATTGAAGGAGGTAAGTCGGTGATAAACCCATCCAGGTGCTTTGATTTTGTTCTGACCCGGGTACTTTGTCGAGGAGTTTCCGTATGTAAACTCGTGCTGGGCTCATGACAGGACACAACAGAGTCATCAGAAGAGTTGTTCACAGTTTCGTTGATTTGTTCTTCACTGTTATTGTTTCTATTTGCATCCCCTTTTTTTGTTTAGCTTTCATCAGCCTCTGTAGTAGGTTCAGTCACGGTTGTAGGACTGTAGTTCTTGATAAAATTCTCTGCATTATTCATACATTCAGCAAAAGTATTATCGTCAATGTTTTTATATCCTTAATAATTGTCATCAAAAGGAAAGACATTTTCGATAAAGGTTACATCACGAGTGACTTGAATCTTGAGGGTCTTTAAGTCATACGGTTTGTATCCCTTTTATCCATTGGAGTATCCAAGGAAGATACATGCTCTCCCTCTTTCACTAAACTTGTCGGTTTTGGCAGTTTTGTTGTGAGCATATGCCAAGCAACCAAACACACAAATGATCATATGTTGGTTTCTTTCCCAATAGTATTTCATGAGGGGTCTTATTTTCTAGAACCGGGGTGGGTAATTTATTTATAATGTATGCAGTTGTTTGCACACATTCCCCCCAAAATTCAATAGGAAGAGAGGCTTGAAACCGAAGAGCTCTAGCTATTTCTAACAAATGTCGATGTTTCCTTTCGACAATCCTGTTCTGTTGAGGGGTGTATGGGCAAGAGGTCTCAAGAAGGATTTCATGAACTTTATAAAATTCTAGCATAAATCTAGATTGGAACTCTGACCCATTGTCTGTTCGAATCCTCTTTATACATTTTTCAAATTGAGTTTCAACCATGTTGTAAAACATAGTCAAGTAGTATGGTGCTTCAGACTTGTTTTTCATGAGATACACCCAGACACCACAACTATAATCATCAACAATAGACAAGAAGTAATGTGCACCACTAAAAGAAGCATGATGATAACGACCCTAAATGTCAACATGAATTAAATCAAAGCAACTAGTAGTTTTTGCAAAGCTAAGAGGAAAAGGTAATCTACTCTGTTTGGCACGAATACAAGAATCACAAAATTCATAACTAGAACCTCCTATACTTCCTATCTGTGGTATTTTCTTGATGACTGCATCAAATGCATGTCCTAATCTTTTATGCCAAACTTCATGTTTACTCCAAACCGACATGGCCACCTCTTTACCCCGAAATGGCTCTAAATAGTACAATCCATCTTTCTCTCTACCCGTCCGAATCAGGTTCTTCTAGACGAAGTCCCGTACATAACATTTATCCGGGAAAAAGGTCAAAAAACAGTTTAAGTCTCGAGTGATTTTGCTCACAGATACCAGATTACATTTAAAACCTGGTACACCCAGCACATCTCTTAGTTTAAACTCATCAGATAAGTGAATGTTTCCTATTTTCTTAACAACCACAGATTCTCCATTTGGAATGGTTACAGAAGTATAGTTAGGATTGATTTTCACGTTTTTCAACCAATTTTCATGGTGGGTAACGTGATCACTAGCACCCGAGTCAATGATCCAAGGCTCAACAAGATTAGATGTCTTACTAGTCATGTTGGCAGTGGCACGGGCATTTTCGTTGACTTGTGTGGCATGCAAAAGCTTGAGTAACTTGTTATAGTCTTCTTTCGTTATGTTTGGCATATGTTTCTCACCAGCAGTTGTTGCAGCTACACGTGGTGATAACTTAGCTTTGTTATTTTGTGGTTTAGTTCCCTTCGGTGTCCACCACTCTGGGTAACCAACAAGTTCAAAACAACCCTCCATTGTGTGTCCGGACTTCTGACAGTGTGTACACCAGCGGTCACGTTTTTTCTTTTGCTGTTCGATGACTGAGACTTTCCCTTCCCAAAAGCTTTATTGTTGGGTTTTCCTGAAACTTGAAAAGCTGCTGTGTCGTTCCCGGAAGAATGGGCCATCGCAACCTGTCATTGTTGTTCATCTTGACTTACCAGGTGGTAAGTCAAGAAGTCATACAGTCTCTCTTTCTCAATATTTGTGTTTTGACCACATTGTATTCCTCCTTTAAACCCATCAAGAAGTCATACAGTCTCTCTTTCTCACGTATCTTCAAAAACTCATTTGCAACATCACAGGAACATCCATTGCATGTGCAAGTCGATGTGGGGCTTATAGATTGAACTTCATCCCATATACTTCTTAATTTCGTGTAGTAGGCAGAAACAATCAGATCATCTTGACGTATTGTTGTGACCTTTCTTCTAAGTTCATAAGCTCATGGTGCGTTTTCTTTTCCAAATCTTTCTGCAAGATCCATCCATATGTCACGGGCTGTTATGGCATATTTGACACTATCTTTGATCTCCTTTTCCATTGCATGGATTAACCATCCTCTCACCATAGCGTTACACCTTTTCCAGTTCATCAGGTCTGCTGAGTCTTCTTTAGGCATGGGCAGGGTTCCATCGACGAAGCCAATTTTGTTCTTGGCAAGCAGCGCATTAGTCATCTCACATTGCCAATCGCTATAATTTCTGTCCCGAAGCAAACTCTCCCCATCGAAATTCTATCCAGGGTGATCATCCATGGTGAGAAAGTATGGTGATGAGATATCCATCACCGTCTTCTCACTTGAGGAACTGAGTTTTTCTCCACCTCCGGTCATCGAATCTGATCAGATCTTCCAAAACTGCATTGATACCATGATAAATTTGACAGAAAATTGTAATCTATGTTTTCTTATTCATATCACGAAAGCAAACATCCCAAAAGTATTTATACTCAACAAAAGAAAACCTAGATAAGCTAGGAAATGATAAATATGACAGGTAATAAAACAAGATAACTAATGGAGCAAAGATAATGACTAATAGAGAAAAGATAATGACGTCAACAACTAATTTCTCACGAGCACCAACATTGATGATCTATTTATTAATTTCTCAACTCTTAATTATGCATATCACACTTTTTCATGATAAAACAAGAGACGGAAATCAAGTCAAGGGACTTTGACTTGCAGGGGTATCTTTGTGATTTCGTTTTCTAATGCTTCAGTTGTTAAATTAGAGCGTAATTATGATAGAATTCCACTATTACGTTCTTGTATTTGGTTATAGATATGACATAAAAGTTTGAATTGTCGAATGAACAAGATGTTTTTGAGAAACAAATTGTCATTAGTTTAATATTATCCATTAAATGGATTTAAATGAGCAATAGATTTGGCGAACATACCCTATTTTTGACGTTTACAAGTTTTCATACAATTACCATCAAACACTGTTACCATCTTGCATACTTTATATATACACAAGGTAACCTACACATGACAACTAACAAAATGTCTAACTAACAAAACGATAATTAACGAACTTGACTACCATCTTGCGTACTTTATAAATATATCCCACCACTTTATTTTAAAAGGTGAATGAAAGGAGAGAAATATTTAATTATAATGCTAATTAATAAAAAAAGGGTTTTAACCTTGTAGAAGGAAAACGATCGCCGATCGATCGGGGAAGGGGAAACACACTCTTGTGTGTGTTCGATCGAAAATCAGAGAAAGGGAGAAAAACATCGAGATTCAAAGAGAAGAAACAAAGCTCATTGTGTGTATGTGTGTTCTAGTTCGATTGAAACAAAAAAACAGAAACAAGAGGACGAGAGATCCTGAGGTTGGAGGGGAAAATGGAAGCAACAATGCTGCAATCAAGATGAAGGGGAGCTGAAGCAGCGACGACTGCCACTGGTGGCCGAAGGCGGCATCCAACGCCTGAACTACGCCAGAATTGACCACTGTGGCAGTAACCTAGGATGGACAAATTCAAATGATCCCATGTTTTGTAATTAAACCAATTGAGGTAATTTCATACCCTAGAAGTTTTATGAACGAAATAGGGTTTGTTGTAAATTGGATTTTGTGATAATTTGATCATGTCTATGAGGTTATTGCTAGTAATGACCCTGATTAGTTCCTTCCATTGCATAACAGCGCAGTGTTATTCACTAATTTTGCAATGCAAATAGACAAATAGTCTTCATTCGATCTATAAATCCGTTCATCCTTAAACTATACATGATGTACTACTGTGTTTGTGTTTGGCATACAATGAGTATATAATAATCAATCATGTACAAATTACAATCCCTTCAACATTAAGTGGAGGTTAGTTTATATACAATCTTTCTATTTTTAACTACAAAACTTATTTTTTGCTGCAGATGTTATGAATGGGACTAGCTGCTGTGCACCCTTGTATCATATCAACATAGACAACATATTTTCTGCAGAGGTAATACTTATGGAGTCCTTTTGCCTATTTATATGCAATTTCACATGCTATGATACATATATAATTCCCCTTGGTTTTTACCTACAAGTGAAAATTTTGTAACAGTTATCAATGTTTCCTTGTTACTGTTAGTCAAAAATGTCAAAATACATATTAAATGAAACCAATGAACATCTGTCATGATTTCCCTCAACCAAGGACATGCTCGATAACAACATGGGAATAAGTTAGCATTAAAAATTGGACCACTTTGCAATGTAGTATTTATTTACTATTGTGGGACTACAAATTGAAGCCATTGTTGCTTCAATTGGGTTGCTATACTGTTCATTCATGGTAGCATAAATTAGGCATATAAAAGAAGCCATTAATGTGGTGAACTTGAGGTGGGCCTTCACTTGTATCAACAAGGGTGACATTGTTGTTGTGGGAATTCAGTTATATCCGTAAATAATGAATTAACTTGGGTTTTAACTTTTAACTTTAGAGATTTGTTGATTTGAATTGTTTTGGTTTTCATGCAACTTCTTTGCTTATGCACCAGTTCAAAATGGAGTTATGGAGTTAAGTTAAAGTGAAGAAGATTGATGGGTTAATTAAGAATTGAATTATTGATAAGTATAGGGTTAGAAATGAGGATTTGAGGATGATATTATGCATATATTTATTATATAGTTGTACTAAATTAATTTGACTTGACATATGTGTTAACAAAAATACATTTGTTATGTCTCCCTACCTATAAAATAAAAGAAAGGTATAGAAAAACACTTGGATATTAAGAATACTTTTTTTGAATATTATGTTTGGAATAGTACATGTCAATTTTGTGTCTCTTGATTAAATTCTGTACCCTTGTATATTTTCAACAAACTATTGGTTTTTGGATTGATGTTTATGAGACCTAATCCACAACAAAAGTATCAAAATGATATAAATTTGATTTTAAAACCCACTATTTCAGAAACTCATCCATTTTCACATACAATATGAATAAAATGCCGTTGCTGTTGCTGTGTACAACTTTACCTAAAACCCTACAATATTAGTAGAAAATACATAAAAAGGAGATGTTGAGAACGTAGCAAAAAAATTTGAACTTTTGCTAATCGTTTTTTATCCGTGAAACATATAATTTGTCAAAACTATTCCATTTTCACATACGATATAAAAAAATTGCTTACCGTGTACACATTTAATCAAAGATGTCATTTTTTTGGAAAAAGCAAAAGATTACAGTGACTGTAGAAACTATGTAAAGATTTAAAATGGAAATTCCACAAAATGATTCTAGATTTGCGAAGTTCTTTTCTAATCGTATTTTCGCCATGAGTATCCATATGGAAAGGTTTCGAATGAAATTTGTGATAATGGTTGAGAAAAAAAAAAGCTAAAAATTGACACTTATTTGTAAATGTATGGTCATTTCTCTCTTTTATCTAAAACTATGGTTACTTGGAAATATATATTTTTCAAGTACATAATAGCTCTTAATTTATTGTACAAGTATGAGTATGACATTAAGGCTATATGGAATAGAAGACAACACCATTCTCGTAGAGGTGTGCCTCATCACCCAAAAAATCAAGTCAATTGCTTCTTACTAGGTGTCTAGATATAGGAAAGGATGTTCAGTGGTCAAGTTGTTAGTGAGTTAGAGAGAAAAAGAGAAAGCAGGGGTAACAAAAAGAGAGATCGAGAGAAAGTTTTTCTCTCTCATTTGTAAAGGATTGTAGCCACAGTCACAAGAGGTCACACTTACGCCTTGTGTTGGAATGCATGTCACACGTTGCCAAGTCACGTAACGCATAAGTTGGAGATGCATTATGAATAGCCTTACTTTAGTTTTCAAATTATCCTCGCATGTTATATGTAAATTCTTAAGGCTTTTCCAACCCATACAATTCTCATACCACTTCACTTAACTATTTTATATTTATAAAATTTGCCATTTAAATCCCTTCAACACATAGATGATACAACCCTCATGCTACTTAATATTCATCTCATTCTTTATATATTTATCACAAAAGAAAGAAAAAAAATTAAAATTCATACTAAGAGTTGTATGTTCATACCACTCTCCACCCAACATGATCACCCTCCAACCCATTTAAAAAAAAAAAAAAAAAAAAAAAAAAAAAAAAAAAAAAAAAACCTTCCACCTCACTCCATGGCTGTAAACGAACCGAATATTAGCAAACAGTTTGTAAACCGTTCAGCAAAAAGTTCGTTTATTTAATAAATGTATCAACATGAATAATGATCTCGTTCGTTTATTTATGTTCATGAACATTAGTTTATGTTGTTTTTTTTACATTCGTTTATGTTTGGTTATTATATTACATTATATATAATATGTATTTTATATTCATTTGTTTTCATATATATATATATATATATATATATATATATATATATATATATATATATATACACACACACACACGCTTATGTTCTTATATGTTAAGTTGTGTTTATTTATTTATGTTCATTTAACATCTTAACAAAAATGAACAATGTAATATGTTAAACCAACGAACATGAACAGGAAAAGTTGTTTGTCTAAATGTTCAAGTTCGTTCGTTTGTTCAGTTAACTTAAATTTTCGAACATTAAGAAGCTCATGTTTGTGTTTGTTTCGGTTCGTTTACAACCATATCCATAAGTATGTCTCGTGTGCATGATTAAAACACCATCATGCAACAACTTTCGAGTAAACAATGTGTGGCCAAAAAAGATCAAAAACTCATTCATAAACAACTTTAAATTATATAGACCAAAACCTCCTTTATGTCATTATCGACAATAAACACCAAAGAGGTGGGCACTATTAGTATTAGGTCTTAATTAAACGACTAAAATACCTTTTTAAATACCGTTAGGTACTCACAACCATAACACTTTAAAGAGTCACTTTATTATTAAAGGGAACTTAATGCCTAAAAGATACACACTAGGTCATAAAAACAAGACACGTTTTTCTTTTTTTGAAAGAGAAAACAAGACACATTTGTGACATTCTACCTTTGAAACGCATAATAAATACCAAATATAATACTCAACACCAAAAGGGTTATATAAAAGTAAACAAAAAAAAAATTGTGACATGCTCTAAAAAAAATCATTATGAACTCGCATCAATGTTGAAGAAGCAGCCGAAACAAATAATCCAACTCATTAGTCGATGAATAACATTTGTTTTTCCTTCTTACATCGGCAAGAGCCACAATCCAACTCTTTTCTGACATTAAAAGGTTGTAAAATTCTTTTTTCCCCATGGTTCTCTCTCTTTATGGTGTTACACAAAATTTTAAGAGAACTATACGTATTTATTTTTTTTAAAAAAAGGAGGCTAAACCCTATGTGTATATGTAGAAAAGCAAGGATTGTCTCATTACTTAATAACAACCATATGCTTCACGTCCATAAATGACATGTACCTAATTGATATTGCGAAATGCCTTTAGCAAAACACTCTTATTTAAAAAGAAAATACAATAATGCCAACATAGAGATGCATTAAGATATCTAATTGGAGATGTTCTTTACACAAAAACACGACTTCGAGATGCTTCAAGATATCTAATTATAGTATATTAAGTATATGTGATTTTTAATTCTTCAACACGACATTGTAATATACTGAATTTGGGTACTGTCCTTTCTTATAAAATGTATATTTTTGTAGAATTCTTTTATGAGGTGCAACACGTATAATCTTTTTCAAGAAAAAAAATGGTAGTACTAAGCTAAATACCAAACAAAATATGAATCTATAGACACAACCATACGATAAGATATATCCACTTAGTTAATCTAACTATCTATTTTGAGTTAGGCCCCGTTTGATAGTTTATGTCCGGAAAAGTGTTGTCTTGGAAAGTGTTGTATGGGAAAGTTTTCTGACTGGGAAAGAAACTATATTGTTTGATTGTACATCTGACTGACTGTGCTGAAGGATAAAAAATGACAATATTGCTCTGGTGTTCTATACTGTGATGAATGAAGTTGCTGAATAATTATAAAAACATACAAATTGTCATAGAAAATCAAAATTACATAATAATCATTTAAATTCCAAATAGAATGTCGATTAAGATGTTTTTAGTTTTTTTTTCAAGTTTATGTTACGTCGTTATTCTTTCTAGCAATTTAAAAAATTTGTTATAACTTAACATGTGATTCTTGACTCGGTTTATGTCCGATAGTGGTGAGATTGATGTATTTTTCAAAATATATTAGGATGATGGTAGTTTTGTTAAAAAAAAAAGAACTATTCCAATAAAAAATGAATTAAAAAATTATCTAAAAGAAATTAATAATCCAATAAAGTAATATTTATTAATATATAAATATTATATATTTATAAGTAATATTTTTTTTAATATATAATAATCCAATAAAAAGAAAATTAATCTATTAAAAAGAAATAAAAAAAGAATTATTTAAAAGAAATTAATAATCCAATAAAATAATATTAATTAATACATAAATATTATAAATTAAAAATAATATTTATTAATATATAATAATTCAATAAAAAATAAATTAAAAAAATTATTTAAAAGAAATTAATAATGCAAGAAATAAAGAGGTAGAGTTTAGGGCACAATTGTCTTTCCAGCCTATTCAGACAGAAAGATATGGTTTTGAAGCTTCCTGGGAAAGACATATATTATCGGGAAAGACCTATTTTTCTGTGCATATCAAACAGTTTTCCTAATCTATTCAGCCAGAAAGATTTGTTTGGACCTGGAAAGATATCTATCAAACGGAGCCTTATTACAGTTGCGATAAAATTTTAGTTACGTAATTTCCTGTGACTATTACATAGAGAAAGAATATATAAAATTGCATTCGAACAAATCCCGTCTACGGTCCACTATAAATAACATTTTTTTTAAACTCTAGTAATCATAATTATAGTTTTTTTTTCTTTTATAATTATTTAAAGTTTTTTAGTCTGATTCTCTATTATACTTGTTATTAAGTAATATTTAAAGTAAATTACAATCTCGTCCCTGTGTTTTATTAAAATCGCAAGTTAACTCAAAATTTTGATTTTGTAACAACTTCATCCTTATGGTTTTATTTGTTTTGAATTTAATCTTTATGTTGTTAACTTTAACATCTCAGCAGCTGGTTTTATTTGTTTTGAATTTAATCTTTATGTTGTTAACTTTAACATCTCAGCAGCTGTTAGTAAAAAGACCAATTTATCTCCTGGCTAAGCCTCAAACAATTGTATGCCAAAGGGACTAAAAAACAATTGTATGCCAAAGGGACTAAATTTGTAAACAAGTCATTATTTTATTATTTTGTTTGTTTTCTTAATTATAAATTATAATATATTTAATTATTAAATATTTTAATAAATGTTTTAATATTATTTAATATTTAATTAGTTTAAATAATATTATATTCAGTTATTGAAAAGTATAGATTAAAGTAAATTATAGTTTTGGTCGATCTTTATATAGTTTTGGTCTTGCCTTTAGAAAAATGATACATACGGTCCCCAAGATTTCAAAATCCATCAAGATTGATCATTTTGGTCGTTATCGTTACTCGGATTCCGTTAAATGCATGTAAAATTACCATTTTAATCTTATTTATTCTGTTTCTTAGGTTTTATGTTTTTTTTTTATTTTACTCTTATTTCATTATTAACAACCTTCGGATCCCTAGTGCAAAAATACCCAGAGAACCAGAATCGGACTAGTATTTCACAAGCGGTT